TTACTATACATTTCAGCTTCAGAATTTTTGTTTGGTTCCTTTTCTTTTTTTTTTTTTTTTAAACATTCATTTATTTATTTGAAAGGCAGTGTCACAGAGAGGCTGAGAGAGAAAGGGAGGTGTTTCATTTGCTGTTCATTCCCCCAAATGGTCACAGCAGCCAGAGCTGAGCTGATCTGAAGCGGAGCTTCTTCTGGGTCTCCCATACGGGTGCAGGGGCCCAAGGGCATGGGCCATCTTCCATTGTTTTCCCAGGCCGTAGCAGAGAGCTGGATCGGAAGTGGAGTAGCTGGGACAGGAACCGGTGCCCGTATGGGATGCCGGCACTCTCTGCACTACATTGCAGGCTCCTGTTTGATTTCTTTTTATAACTTTTTAAAAAAATTATAATTAGCTCGAGATAGTTGATTTAAAGTTTATGTTTGGGCTCATGCCATGGCTCACTTGGTTAATCCTCTGCCTGCAGCGCTGGCATCCCATATGGACACTGGGTACTAGTCCCGGTTGCTCCTCTTCCAGTCCAGCTCTCTGCTGTGGCCCAGGAGAGCAGTGGAGGATGGCCCAAGTGCTTGGGCCCCTGCACCTGCATGGGAGACCAGGAGGAAGCACCTGGCTCCTGGCTTCGGATCGGTACAATGCCGGCTGTAAGCGGCCATTTGGGGAGTGAACCAACGGAAGGAAGACCTTTCTCTTTCTCTCTCTCTTTCTCTCTCTCTCTCTCTGTAACTCTACCTGTCAGATTAAAAAATAAAATAAAATTTATGTCTAAGAAATCCAGGATCATTACTTTTGCAGGCAAAGTTTCTGTTAATTTCCTTTATGAATAGGCCATGCTCTATAGCTTTTTGTAAAAATTGGATGTGTTGAATATTATCAAATCATGTTCTTCTCTTCTGTCAGGATTCAATTTGCTTGCTTGCTGTTTGGGATTTTTTTTTTTTTTTGCTGATTCCTAAGAGTTGTTTGTAAAGTATGTAGTCTTTGTCTTATGTAGTATCTGAAGTTTCTGTGTCTTTGTTTTGTCTTCAATTACTGTTTTGAGAAAGATTTTTAACACCAGTTGCCTGAGACAGAGAACAAAAAAGAAAATGAAAGAAAAAGAATCACCTCTCCCATTGCGTGCACATAGTCTGTGTGCTAGACCTTCCTTCAGTGACTAGTCGTTTACAACTTGCTTGTACCTAGATCTCAGCAAGTGATGAGAGTTTAGAATTTTCTCAGGTCTTTTTTGAGGGTTTTTTCTTGGGTGTGCTTTGTCCTGTATTTCCAAGTGAAAGGTGTGCTTCTGAATGCCCCAATTCACTCTAGGAGCTTTTCTTTTAAGTTTTACTTGCCCTGTTTTTGGCTTTCTAGTGAATACACCCACCATAGTCTTTTTTTTTTTTTTTTTTTTAAGATTTTATTTATTTATTTGAGAGGTAGAGTTAGACAATGAGAGGGAGAAATGGAGAGAAAGGTCTTCCTTCCTTTGGTTCATTCCCCAGTTCTCACAATGGTTTCAGCTGTGCCGATCTGAAGCCAGGAGCCAGGAGCTTCTTCCTGGTTTCCTACATGGGTGCAGGGTCCCATCTTCCACTGCTTTCCCAGGCCACAGCAGAGAGCTGGATTGGAAGAGGAGCAGCCAGGACTAGAACCAGTGCTCCTATATTATGACGGCACCTTAGGTGCAGGATTAACCTACTGTGCCACAGCGTTGGCCCCCCCACCAGAGTCTTTTGCCCCAGGTCTGTGTGGTATGTTTGCCCTAATATTATGCTGAGGCCTGCCATTCTGTCTTGAGTGAGTTTTGAGAAAGAAGATAAGTTGCATCAGTCCTTCCATAGCCTTCAGACACCTTACAACTGAAAAGCACAGTTCCATGGAAGTTAAGTCTGCCATGCTCATTTTGAACTCAAGTAGCTTCTGTCTTTAAGACCTTTATCCTGCGTCATGCATGAATTAAAGAAGAGTAAAAATGTCAGTGTCCCTGCCATTTTGATTTTTTAAAAAAGATTTATTTATTTAATTATTTGAAAACTTGAGTTACAGAGTGACAGAGGGAGAAATAGATCTTCCATCTGCTGGTTCACTCCGCAAATAGCTGCAACAGCCAGGGCTAGGCTCAGCTTATGATAGGAACCAGGAGATTCTTTTGGGACTCTCACGTGGATGCAGGGGCCAACAACTCGGGGCCATCTTCTGCTGCTTTCCCAGGCCAGGGAGTTGGATCAGAAGTAGAGTAGATGGAACACCTAATTGGAGCCCCTATGGGTTGTTGGCATCACAGTGGGCAGCTTAACATCCTGTGCCACAATGCCTGCACACGGAAAATACTTTTTAATGCAATCAGTCATGTATTTTAAATGAAAGAAGACTTTTTGTGTAGTCAACATTCATTAAAATTAACTAAATATTTATCAGTCTTCATTGTTTAACACATAGCATACTTCTGGGATCATTTTTCTGATTACCTGAGAAAATTTTTTGGTGTTTCTTCAAGAGAAGTGTGTTTTGATTCTGTAAAAATATTTGGTTTCATTGAAAGATTTATTTATTTATATGAAAAGCAGAGTTACAGAGGACGAGGCAGAGAGCGAGCAAGCAGTCCTAAATCAGCTGGTTGACTCCCCAGGTGGCTGCAATGGCTGGAGCTGTGCCGATCCGAAGCCAGGATCCAGGAGCTTCGTCTGGGTCTTCTCATGGAGGGTGCAGGGGCCCAAGGACTTGACTATCTTCTTCTGTTTTCCCAGGCCATAGCTGATAGCTGGATCAAAGTGGAGCAGCCAGGACTTGAACCAGCGCTTATATGTGGTGCTGGCAGTGCAGGCGGCGGCTTTAACCAATACACTGCAGCGTTGGCCCCTAAATCAGTCTTTACACATATAAAATATGTGGCCAGCGCTGTGTTGTAATAGGTTAAGCTTCCGCTGCAGTACTGGCATCCCAAATGGGTGCCAGTTTGAGTCCTAGCTGTTCCACTTCCAGTCCTGCTCCCTGCTAATAGCCTGGGAAAGCAGTGGAAGATGGCCCAAGTCCTTGGGCCCCTATACCTGCATAGGAGACCCAGAAGAAGCTCCTATCTCTTGGCTTTTAATCGGCCCCGCTCTGGCCATTGCTGCCATTGCTGCCATTGGGGAGTGAACCAGAGTTTGGAAGACCTCACTCAGTGTGTCTGTCCTTCTCTCTCTGACTTTCAAATAAATAAAATAAATCTTTAAAAAGAGAGATATGAGGCTTCTATTTGCTGATTGACTTCTCAAATGTCTGCAACAGCAGGGGTGGTCCACACTGCATCCAAATCTCCCATGTGAGTGGCAAAGCCCAGAACTTGAGCTATCATCTGCCGCCTCTTAGGATGCATTAACAGGAAACTAGAGTGGAAGTGTACTGGGGACACTCTACTATGGGATGTGGGATTGTGAAGTGCCAGCTTAACGTGGTGTGCAACAATGCCCACATCCACTATTTTCTTATCGAAGTTGAAGCAGTTGCCAGTCTAGGCCATTGATGTCTGAATTTTTGCTTCTAGTTATAAACAGTTACAAAGAAATTAGTTAGAAAGGAATAAGTTAATATAACAATGGTTAATTTTGTCATATGTTTGATCATAACATACTTAATACGTTAAAAATTATTCATTTATTTATTTGAAAGACAGGGATTAGAGAGGAGAGTGAGAGCTAGCTTCAGTCTATTGATTCACTCCCTGAATGGGTAGAACAACCAGGGTTGGCCAGGGCAGGAGGCAGGAACTCCATTCTGGTCTCACACATGGATGTCAAGGGCCCAAGTACTTGATTCATCTTCTGCTGCCTTTCCAGAATTAGCAGGAAGCTGGATTGAAAGCAAAAAACAACCATAGCTCAAGCCAGTCCTGTAGTGTGGGATGCCTACATTGCAAGCAGTATACTACAACACCAGACCCATACTTAATTTAGTATTTATATTTGATAATTGCCAAATTAATTTTGTTTCATGATTGATTAATTGGAGAGGCAGAGTTCAGATAGAGGGAGAGACAGAAAGGTTTTCTATTGGCTGATTCACTCCCCAGATGGCTGCAATGGCCAGAGCTCTGCCAATCCAACGCCAACAGGAGCTGCTTCCAGGTTTCCCATGTGGATGCAGGGACCCAAACACTTGGGCCATCTTCTGCTTTGCCAGGCCATTGCAGAGAGCTGAATCAGAAGAGCTGATGGAACATGAACTGGCGCGCATATGGAATGCCGGTGCCACAGGCAGGAGCTTAGCCTACAACACTAAAATAGCTCCTTAATATAAATTTTTAGAATATTTCAAATGGAAGTTTAAAATAGTAAAGCAATGATTATTACACATTATCAAAATATTGACATTTAAAATGATTAACATTAAAATATTAGAAATATTTCTCAAGTTCCAAACTACTTAAAAGTTTTTATAGTGATTCTCAGAAGTAGTGTTGATCTGAAGAATTTATTCTTTTTTTAACATATATTTATTTGAGAGGCAGAGTTACAGAGATGGAGAGGCAGAGAGAGAGAAAGAGAAATCTTTCATCCCCTGGTTCACTCCCCAAATGGCTACCATGGCTGGTGCCAAACCAATCTGAAGCCAGGAGCCAGGAGCTTCTTCTGAGTCTCCTACATGGGCGCAGGACTTGGACTGTCTTCCACTGCTTTCCCAGGCTCTTTAGTGGAGGAGCCATTGAAACCAATGCCCTTATGGGATGTTGGTACTGCAGGCGGTGTGCCACATCACTGGTCCCAAAATTTTTTCTTATAAGAAGTGCAGTGCTAGAATCTGAATTTGTAGATATTTCTTTTTGTTTACGTTACAGTGCAAAGTAACTGTATACATGATTATGAAGGCTTTGTCATTTTTGGTTGACAGTTCTCAGACCTGCAACTGACTCTGTAATGAGAATTTAATGTTCTTTGTTGTACATTTGCTTAAATAGGCATCTTTAAGGTTTTTCCTTAGAAAAAAGGTAGTGACTTTGTTAAACTGAAAAAATGATGTTTTAATTTATTTATTTTTAGGTTGGGCTCATGTGGTTTGTGCCCTGTATATTCCAGAGGTACAGTTTGCCAATGTGTCCACAATGGAACCAATTGTTTTACAGTCTGTTCCTCATGATCGTTACAATAAGGTACAGTAGATATTATTTTATTTCTAATTTAACAATTTCATTTTACAACTAGGAGATGGATAAGAATTTTTGGTATTTGAAAGTTAGGGGCCTTTTAAATTTTAAACTAAAGGCTTTCATCAAATTCCAGAGAGATCTCAAAAGAATAGAATTATGCTAGACAAGAACAGTTATTCAGATATGTTTCTGAAGTTATAGGAGTACAAATAAAGCTGTGATTCCTTTTATATTAATTTGGGTATTTAATATTCGAGTATTTACCAGTCATTTTAATCCTTATAAACATGTCTTCTAAGAGTTACTGACTATTCTCACTTTTTCTGTTTCTTTTTTTTTTTTTTTTTGACAGGCAGAGTTAGACAGTGAGAGAGAGAGAGAGACAGAGAGAAAGGTCTTCTTTCTGTTGGTTCACTCCCCTAATGGCCGCCACGGCCCGTGCTGTGTGCCGATCCAAAGCCAGGAGCTGGGTGCTTCCTCCAGGTCTCCCATGCAGGTGCAGGAGCCCAAGCACCTGGGCCATCCTCCACTGTCCTCCTGGGCCACAGCAGGGAGCTGGACTGGAAGAGGAGCAACTGGGACTAGTACCCGGTGCCCCAACCGGAACCAGAACCCGGGTGCCGGCCTATTCTCACTTTTTGAACTATCAAGTTCTTTTAAACTTGAATTAATTATTATTTAGGATAATATCCATTGTAATGTCATGCACTCTTTTTTTTTTTTTTAAACCCTTGTTTCAGAATGGTACATTATGTATCAGAATGGTATATATGTACCTGGAAGCTAATTTTTTATTGTTGGCCTTTGGAAGTTAATTGCTTTATCCCTGTAAATTCACATGATGGTTCTTCACAAAGTTCATGGAATAATGAAGTTAAAAGATAAATTTATTTTAGTGTAGAAAAATTTAAAATCCCTGCCTAGTTTTTTCGTAATGCACGTTTCTGATGAACTTTTTGAAGTGCTTCTGTATATATGCTTCTGTATATATTTATTGTCTTCTGCATTTTAGAAGGCTTTTGTATTTTTCAGTTTGCCATTTAATGAATTAATTGTCAATGTGAACATTTAATTGAAGGTATGCTTTCCATATGTGAAAGAAATTTTCATGGCAGCCAAGATTTCAAATGTTTGTATATTGAAAAGCTTTTTTATTATATAGTGTTTAAATGTGGAGTATATAGATTAAGGTAAAAATCTTCCCTTTCAGATACTTTTAGATGTTTTCCTTTTGTATTTTGCTTATAATGTATAACTGTGAAGAATTTAGATTTTTTGCTTCTATTGTTTGTCCTCTTTTGAAAATCCTGAATATCTTTTTGAGTTATTAAATGAAATTTATGCCATATTTGTAGTGAATAGTTTGTAATACAAAATATTAGTAGAATTAATAAACTTTAACTTAATTGAACAACCTTATTTTCTTTGGTTGTTGTTATTGTTTTTGTTTGTTTTTTTTTTTTTTGTTTTAAATAGGTAGAGACAGAGACTGCTGCTTCACTCCCTAGATGCCTGTAATGGCTGGGGCTAGAGCCAGGAGTCTGGAACTTAGTCCAGGTCTTCTTTATAGGAAGCATACCTGAGCTTTACTGTTGCCTGCAATGCTGTGAGAAGTTAGAGTTAGGAACCAGAGCGAGGAATGGAACCCAGGCACTCTAGTGAGGAACATGTTTATCATAATCATTAGAATAAACAGGCTACTCCGACCTCTTATCTTTGAAGGTCCTAGTTTGGTGTCTGGCATATAGTTACACTAGTAGAATGTCTGTGAATATAAATATTTTTGGAAGCTTCAACAAACATATTAGATGAAATCCTCTACAATGCATTTGGCAATTTATACTACAGAAGCACTATGTGAGATTGCCGTGTATCATGTTACATGCAGTGTGTTTACCATTCAAGACAAATCTTTGCTTTGATGTTCTTGTTTTTTCCTTCTTCTTTTTTTTAAAGACTTATTTACTTGAAAAGCAGAGTGATGGAGAGGGAGGTAGAGATAGAGATCTTCCACTTGCTGGTTCAGTTCCCAAATGCCACAAGAACTTGGACTGGGCCAAGCTGAAACCAGGAGTGAGGAACTCCATCTGGTTCTCCTATGTGGCTGGCAGGTGCTCAAGTACTTGTGCCATTATCTGTTGCCTTCTTAGGTGCATTAGCAGGAAGAGTGGAGTGGAGTAGCTGAGACTTGGACTAGCACTCTGATATGGGTTTCAAACATCCTAAACAGTGTCTTACCTTCTTGGCCACAGTTCTTACCCAGTCTTTGCTGTTCTTTTTTTTTATTTTTAAATGATTTATGGTGCAATTTTGGAAGTGTCACATTGAGTTAAGATTGAAATGGATTGAAATGCATATATTGAAAAGGGTTTTTAAACTTGTGACTGCCTAGTTTCTTTGGACACCTCTTTCACCTCCTAAATCTGAAATAAATTAGATAGTAGCATTTCTCTTGTTGCTCTCTTCACTGCTTTATCTATATCAAAACAATATGTGCCGATCCGAAGCCAGGAGCCAGGAGCTTCTTCTGGGTCTCCCACGTGGGTGCAGGGGTCCAAGGACTTGGGCCATCTTCCACTGCTTTCCCAGGCCACAGCAGAGAGCTGGATGGGAAAAGGAGCAGCTGGGACTAGAACCGGCACCCATATGGGATTCCGGCACTTCAGTCCAGGGTGTTAACCCACTGAGCCACAGCGCCAGCCCCTCCCTCCCTCCCTCCCTCCCTCCCTTCCAAGATTTATTTATTTGACTTGAAAGAGTTACACAGAGAGGAGAAGCAGAGAGAGAGAGAGAGAGGTCTTCCATCCGCTGGCTTACTCCCCAGATGGCCACAACGGCCGGAGCTGCGCTGACCTGAAGCCAGGAGCTTCTTTCGGGTCTCCCACACGGGTGCAGGAGCCCAAGGACTTGGGCCATTTTCTTCTGCTTTCCCATGCCATACCAGAGAGCTGGGTCAGAAGTGGAGCAGCCGGGTCTCGAACTGGCGCACATATGGGATGCTGGCACCGCAGGCAGTGGCTTTACCTGCTACGCCACCCTCCCCCCAAATTTTCTTAATGATCATATTAATATACCATTCATTGTAATGAACAATGAAATTACCTTGCTTTGCTCTCTGATATTCACATTAGTCTGTTTTGAAAGAAACAAATACATGAACAGCTCAAAAATGAACATTTTGTCTTCTGAGGTAGAAATATGAAAAAAATGATTTAGCATGTTTCCAGTTCTGTGTATAACAAGCTCAGAATTTGACATTCCGTTGTAAAAAATAAAAGCCAAACACACTGAAAATCCAACAACTGTACTTAGATCTGGAGGGCCAAACTACCCCCAAAACTGGGTGGATACAGAGTATGGCAACATACCTGCACAAAACTTCAGGAACCAGTGCTGGAGCAGGAAAATGAGAACTGCACTTGACGATTTGCTGGAGACTACATGTGAGCAATGCAGCCAGTCAGAGCCTTCATGGAAGCTAGTCATTAGCAGGTTCCCCAACACTTTTCTCAGTGTTACTTCCAAGAGCTCTGCAAAGGCTCTATAATGAGATATATGATAACCAAGCCTTCTGTGTTTTTACCTTTGGAGAAAGGGAACCATGTTTATGTTCTTTCTAATGAAAGATAGTAGTGTTTGTGATTTTGTGTGTGTGTGTGTGTGTGATTATTAGTAAGGTCATGTATTTTAAAGCTCTTTTAAGTTAATGTTTGCTAATTGACATTAAGTAGCTTCATTTGCATATTATATCTTTCTAACAAAGCATTTAAAAAAAAGATTTTATTTATTTTAAAGGCAGAGTTGCAGACAGAAAGAGGGGCCAGTGCTGTGGCATACTGAGTAGAGCCGTCACCTACATTGCCGGCATTCCATATGGGCAAGTCCAAGCTCCACTTCTGATCCAACTCTCTGCTATGGCCTGGGAAAGAAGTAGAAGATGGCCCAAGTCTTTGGGCCCCTGCACCCATGAGGGAGACCCAGAAGAAGCTCCTAGCTCCTGTCTTCGAATCAGCTGAACTCTGGCCATTGAGGGCATTTGGGGCGTAAACTAGTGGATGGAAGACACCCTCCACCCCCATTACTCTGTCTTTGAAATAAATAAAATATTTTTTCTAAAGATTTATTATTATTTGAGAGTCATATTCAGAGAGGGACAGAGGTTGGTCTTCCATACAGTGGTTCACTCCTGTAATGGCTGCAATGGCTGGAGCTGGGCCAGTCTGAAACCAGGAGCCAGTATCTTCATCCAGGTCTCCCACGTGGGTGCAGGGGCCTAAGGACTTGAGCCATCTTCTACTGTTATACCAGGCCATAACAGAGAGCTGGATTGGAAGAGGAGCAGTCGAGACTAGAACTGGTGCCCATATGGGATGCTGACACTTCAGGCCAGGACTTTAAACCACTGTGCCACAGCGCCGGCCCCAGTAGAATATTTTAAGTAAGAAAAGTTGAAGCTTTATTTCAGAGAGTCTTACAAATATCATGTTTTATTTTTGTAATTACAGGGCAGTAGTGTGATCTGAGATGCCAGATGGAAAATGAGGCCTCTAAAAACAAATGAAAAGAATACATTTGGGTCTAAAATAGACATGAGATTTCATCTTCCAACAGTGTAACTGTTAGGGCAGATAGTAGAAAACCATGAAATAGTGTCAAATAGAGATGAGTAACTTAATATATATAGCAACAGATTCTAAAAGTGATTAGGCTATTATTGCCAGTGATTACGGTTTCTTTCCAGCCACAGTATTACAGGATATGTAGTCTGTCTCTGTCTCCCCTTTCTTTTGGTTATAGATCAAATTTATTTTTCAAAGTGTTGACCTACCCTAGAACTGTTACTATCCAAATTCCCAGATAACACACCATCTAATTGCTTCATAAAAAATTAAAAAAAAAAAAAGGTTTTTATTTCAGAGGCAGAGAGATAAAGAGAAAGAGTTAGTTCCCATTTGTGAGTTCTTTCCTCAAATCCTTGCAGAGGTTGGGACAAGGTTGGACCA